GGTCAAAGCAAAATAAGTTGCACGAACGACACTCTCATATCCAGCAGCCCTGGATCCGCAAGGCGTCGTGAACATTTATTTTGTAATCAACCACCAACACTGCCGCTGGTTGCTACCACCGCCGCCGCAACGCACACATCGTCGCAAGCGAGTGCATCTCGGCACCACTGCGGCAAGCGACGAATCTCAAAGCGACAAACAAATTCCACAAATCTAAAACACACATGCCTAACAACACCGTAACAGGAATGGTACGATCTAGATTTGAAGTTTTCGTGACTGCAGGAATCCATACTCTTTGGTTATTTCGGTAAAGTCACGTAGGTATAAAATAAATTAGATCACGTGACGTTTCGGGCGCAACACAAGCGTCCATGATCAGGTGGGACAACCACAGCAAGAAACAATTGCTGAAGTGGGCAAAAGGGCTGCAATTGTTTCTTGCTGTGGTTGTCCCATCTGATGATGGACGCTTGTGTTGAGCTCGAAACGTCGTGATTTAATTTATTTTATTTTATACCTACATGACTTTACCGAAAGAGCCAAAGAGTATGGATCCCTGCAGTCACGAAAACTTCTAATCTAGATTGTACCGCCTCCACGGGGAGGGTTTTCACACATCTGTTTGAGCTTTTAACAGACAGCAGGACAAGAAGGCTCAACTAATCGAGTCGCTAACCTTCCTCAAGAGATGCCGCGATAACAAGGTAATACTGATCGCATTTCCACTCACATCTGCTGCTGTCACTTCTCCTGATGCTAAACGGATCTTGTTTAAAGCCAGCCTATCACTAATCTAAGAGAGAATGAGTTTGATACGATTTGAATTTGATCATTTAGACAAGACTCTCTTATAATCACACTTAAAATTAACAGATAAAATGTCTACTTCTGATTGGGACCATGTAGATAACATGACAGTCTCCTCTGCTAATTCAATGTCAACCAAATGTAAAGTTAACTTGATCGCTAAATTTAACCTGTCAAAAAAGAAGCCAGATCCACACGTTAAAAAGTTAGATGTTAACAAGATTGTCATCAGAGTAACATCCCAATTTCTGACAGCCTAAAATCGGTACTAGCTAAAGGGTTGAATTTCGCAGTTACCCCTACACATATCTCAGTGGATGATATAATCCCCCAGGTCGACGTAGCCCTCAAAGGCTTGGGACACATCCCGACAGGTGTTGCTAGATCTGAAATTGCCACCATCCTTAAAAATGCTAAGAAACCCATGAGTAACATCATCCTCTTAGCCGACAAGGGCAATGCTACTGTCATCATGGATAAAACCCTACATACAACAAAATCCAGGGCCTTCTTAATGATGGCAGTTACACCAAAATCAACAAAGATCCTACTAACAGCCTGACTACAAAAACCAACAATATCATTACCAGTTCGACTTCTCTAATCGAACTAGTCAAATGGCTCTCCCCAAAACCTTCTACTAGACCACCCAGATTCTATGTTCTTCCTAAGATCCACGAAGAAGGCACTCCACTTCGGCCAATCGTTTCCACTATCAACTCACCTACCTACAAACTAGCCTGTTTTCTGTCTGATACCTTGCTTCCGTTCACTGGCAAAACTACCTCAGCAGTACATAACTCAGCTCACTTGGTCTCTCTAATCAAGGGCATTTCACTGTCCCCATATTATTTTCTCGTCAGCTTTGATGTTTCAGTTTTCAGTTTCAGTTGATTTATTTTGGTATAGCCCTGTGAGCCATTCGGCTCTTGAATCGGGTGCAACCACAACAAAAAAAAACCACACAGCAGCAGCAGGCGTTATCAGGGTCGGGATCGAACCCACGACCTCCTGTATACCAGGCGATGTAGTTATCTCCTAGCCACCGTGATGATGATGAGAGAGAGAGAAAGACACGCAAACTTCAAATATACAGCAGCAGGTGTCAGGGTCAGGCTCGAACCCACGACCTCCTGCGTACCGGGCGAGGTAGTTAACATCTCCTAGCCACCGTGATGATGATGAGAGAGACACGCAAACTCCAAATATACAGCAGCAGGCGTCGTTAGGGTAAGGATCGAACCCACGACCTCCTGTATACCAGGCGAGGTAGTTAACATCTCCTAGCCAACCGTGGTGCCCCATACGAACTCGGTTCATCCGAGTTTGATCGCGAGCTATGGCTTAACAACATCAGTGGCGAGTGACGAATCATGTAGTCTCTCTGTTCACTAAGGTTCCTGTGCCTGACACCTTAGCAATAATGGAAGATTTAGTGCAACATGGACTGAACCCTGATGTTCCTACTCTGGTTAGGCACTGCCTTACCAACACTTACTTCACCTGGAATGGTACTTTCTACAAGCAAAATGAAGGTACCCTCATGGGTTCCCCCTTATCACCAATGACAGCGAATGTTTTCATGGAGAAATTTGAAACAGATGCCATCCATACATCCACCCTACGTCCTTCCTTGTGGAAGAAATATATAGATATATACATTCTAGAGCGATATATAGATTCTAGATTGAAAGCTTTTGTGACTGCAAGGATCCATACTCTTTGGTTTTATTTGGTAAAGTCACGTAGGTATATAGATGACACTTTTGTCATTTGGCCACATGGCCTGCCAGCATTGAACCAATTTCTCAACCACATTAATTCCATACACCCATCCATCAAATTCACCATGGAAGTGGAGAAGGATGGTAAGCTACCATTCCTGGATGTTTTGTTTGAGAAGAGACCTGACGGCTCGTTGGGACACTGTCTACAGGAAAGCCACCCACACAGATTCCTATCTGAAACCTGATTCCCACCACCACCCGGCACAGAAGAATTCTCTCATCAAAACACTACACCATAGGGCCCACTGCATTTCTGACCAACACCACCTAGCCAGTGAACTGGAACACGTACACCAGGCCCTCAAGATGAATGGGTACTCGGACCGCATTATTCGCAAAGCAGTTTCTCCAACCATTGAGAAACATCCCCCTGAGACGCCGATCAAAACCATCACATTACCATACATAGCAGGCGTTACCAAAAAATATTTCCAAAATCATAAACAAACAAAAGATCAAAGATCCAGGTCCGATTCAGTACAGTACACAACATCCGTTATCTAATCCCATCTGTGAAGGATGTCATTCCTGACCATGCAATACCCTGGAGTCTACAAACTAAGTTGCACCTGTGGTGGGTGTCAGATCTGAAAAACGGCAGAACCAATACCTCTGCCGTGGCTGACCATTGCTATAACGCTGTGGGCACTCATGATATTGTTTTTTCTCAGACCAAGGTACTATGCAAACCTTCGGGCTACTATCAAAGGTTTGTTCATGAAGCCATCCAGATATATAAACAGACATAACTTCAACCGAGAAGATGGATACAAATTGAGCAATCATTGGAAGGATGTTATTAACCAGGTAAAACCTTAACTTCGGGCTACTATCAAAGGTTTGTTCATGAAGCCATCCAGATATATAAACAGACATAACTTCAACCGAGAAGATGGATACAAATTGAGCAAATCATTGGAAGGATGTTATTAACCAGGTAAAACCTTAACTTCTTTAAAGTGTTGCCTTCATATCCACACCTCCAGTCTTCTTCAGCCTCCCACTCCCAGCCCAGCTCACTTCCCCCTCCCCACCCCCCAGCAGCTTGCCGTGCTCGCCCTTTATTCCCTCTAGCAGCGCCCCACTTCTCCTACCCCACACCCCCCCCCCCCTTTTAACCGCATCTCCAGTTTCTTCAGCCTCCCACTCCCAGCCACGCCCACTCCCCCCCGGCATTGTCTGCTCATCCTCTAAACGTTCTCGCAGCACTCCCCTCCCCCTACCCCCCTCTCTATCTCTCCCCCCTTGCTCCTTCCCCCTCTCTTACCTATATAGCCTCTTGTTACAGCAGCCCTTTTGCCCACTTCAGCAATTTTTTCTTGCTGTGGTTGTCCCACCTGATGATGGACGCTTGTGTTGCGCCCAAAACGTCGTGATTTAATTTATTTTATTTTATACCTACGTGACTTTACCGAAATAACCAAAGAGTAGGAATGGTACGAGCTGATCGACGTTGCAGATGCGATCACAGGGCAAGCACACGCCAACTCCTCTCCAGCCCTCCCCTCAGACTCATCGCCCAGGGCCCTCTTGCCCACTCGAGCCAAAAGCCCTCGAGCGAGCAACCAGCGGAGCCATCAGCCGGCAGCTGGCACTGGGTGCCGCCGTGACCTCAGACCTCCACACACTGGTCGGCTGTTCGGCCGGCTACTGCTGCCGCTGCGGTTCGGGCAAACGCTCGCACAGAACCGTGGCCGATTTGGTATCCAAGGTTCGAGTGGAACGTTCTGGGTGTCAAGAGGTGTTGCCGCCACTGCCACCTCCGCTGGGTGAGCGTGTGCGGTGGGAGATTCGGACCAACGACCAACCACCATCATCAACATCACCATCAACATCATCAACATCGATGGAAAAAAAGAATTGGCTTCAACCTTTCGAGCAATACCGTTGCTAAGATGCTCAAACACCAAATAGACACCTATTGCAAGGCATCACGTCTGCATTAACGAAACATGCTTGATGTTTTTTCATCATTTTGATACCGGCAAAAAAAATGGTCCCATAGATATTATTTACATCATCAGTCGAATTTGCTGCACAGGCCAATGCACACATCTACTTCACGAATGGACAATTAAAGACACAAAGCCACAGGCATGCGATCGTTGTCATGCAACCCAAACTGTGGACCGCACTAAACACCATTGTGGTTGTCTTCGCACCATTCAACGGAGGAGGAGCAGCAAAATGACACGAACTCTCTCTCTCTGCTAAAGCTCTCTCGTGGCCAGCAGTATACCTCGACATTGGCATCAACTCCTGAACATCGAGCTGCCGTTCGCCAGAACAGAATAGAATAGAACATAATCAACATCATCATCATCATCTCCGTCCTCAGTGCCATCTTCATGAGCCACATCATCATTATCATTATTATCACTATCATCATGATCATCATCGCACCTCTTCGATGAGTGTGGCAAGCTGCTGGAGGACGGAGGGGGAGAGCTCGCAGAACGTGAGGCTGGCACGGCACCACTCGGCCGGGGTGGGCACCGTGGGGGGCACCGCGGGGGGCACCGCGGGGGGCACCGTGGGGGGCCCGCGCTGGCGCCGCAGAACGCACAGCGCCTTGCCCTTCACCTGCGCCGGCAGCTGCAACCCACAGGGCACAAAACGATCCAGAGTCATCGGAGAAATCGCGCGCAGGCATCGTCAAAAGTAGTTTCTTAAAACAAAGTTAGGAGAAATGACGCTTAGAGCAAGGATCGTCGGGTGATTTTGTGTCCTCGGAAGTGTTGGAGCGGTGGCGTAGTCGTTTGCGCCTTGTGCCACGAACTCGGCGACCTGAGTTCGATTTCCACCCATGGCCGCCACCACCAAGTGACGGATTATCTGAACCGGTCTTGCTGCCTCCCCTAGGTCGACTCATTCTCAAATGAGTACCTGGTGTGGTGTGTGAAATCATCGCCACTGGGGAGACAAAGGTGGTCAGGCGTGGTGCTGGCCACCCCACCCTCTCATGTACCGTTCCGGCCTTCATAAGTGCTACTCGCTAACAGCACGTGCCCCCAACAGTCAACACAATCTTGAAAAGTGCAGGTGCACTGAATAAGAGCCATTTCCCGAGACATCACCCAATATTTGTTGCTTCAGGCCGCACTGCTTGTACACCACTGCCGAGGCAGGCGCAAGCAAGTAGAGTTGTAGTCTATAAAGGCACACTAAACTCTCCGCGCAAAGTTTCATTTGTGCCACGCGATCGTCACCGCAGGTTATCGTGTCGCAGGCTGACAAAGCTGCGGAGGGCAATAGGGCGAAAGAAAATCCAAAGTTGTTTTCCGCGTCAATGTTACACTCCATCACCAACCCGCGGTGGACTTAACGTGGGGATAGCATAGGCGGAGTTTGACTTCTATATTTGTGTGGGGGGGGGGGGGGGGGGTACAGAGGCTCGCTTCGTCCCTCACATTAGGAATCGCGGGTGCATATAATAGTGAAAATACATTAATGGTGTCCCCCCTCTTCCCGTACCCACCCCCTTTTCCCCCCAAACTCCGCCCATGGTGGGGAAGTATGGTCAAATAGCCGCCACCCCACCCGCCCCTCTCTTACCGGGGCCACGACACGCGCGGGCGCAGGGGAGGCCCTCATCCAGCAGTGGATTGGCACTGCTGGGACGCCAGCACGTACACAGCCCTCGCACACACCCCCGGGTCTAACACAGCCAGCTCTCGCTTAGCCACACACGCCTCGGAGTGGTGGTGGTGGTGGGTGGGTGGTGGTGGGTGGGTGGTGCGTGGGTGGTGGGTGGTTGTGGGTGGATGGTGGGTGGTGGGTGGATGGTGGGTGGATGGTGGGTGGTTGTGGGTGGTGGGTGGGTGGATGGTGGGTGGTGGTGGGTGGTTGTGGGTGGGTGGTGGGTGGATGGTGGGTTAGTGGGTGGATGGTGGGTGGATGGTGGGTGGTGGTGGGTGGTTGTGGGTGGATGGTGGGTGGATGGTGGGTGGTGGGTGGTTGTGGGTGGTGGTCGGTGGATGGTGGGTGGTGGGTGGTTGTGGGTGGTTGTGGGTGGGTGGTGGGTGGATGGTGGGTGGTTGTGGGTGGTGGTCGGTAGCTGGGTGGGGGATAGGAGAATACGAGCAACCCCGCCTTGAATCCAGACCGGGCGTTGTCATATGGACGAGGTCACGTTTAATTAGGGGGCCGCTAATTGGGACTTAACAAATGTGTACTTTTCATGAAACGATACGTCGCCGGCGCCAGCTGTTTCCGTTTTGGTTACGCGCACAGCGGGGGACCGGTTCGACGAGGCGCTCTCTGTGGCCCAGCTCCAATTCCAAGTCTCGGGCACTGAATGACCAAGATTAAAAAGTCACTTCCCGCGCTCTCTCCGTGGGCTCTGTAATTTGTCGGTGTCGCTGTTTGTACTCTCAGGAATTTATTTGTAGGACTTCGTTGTCAATCCACTGCTGGATGAAGGTCCCCCCCCCCATCCTGTTAACGATACCTTTAACCACGCTGTCAGTGTGGGTTGGTAAAATTGAGGAGGGGGGGGGGAGACAGGAGAAGGAGGGGGGGGGGGGGGCAGGACATCCGATTAGCACGATTGGCTACGCACGATGCGAAAGAAGTTCAACACGCATACATATTTGGCACCAAAGGTTCTAAACTCACGCCTAATGTCGACTCCAGCCCACAATGGCAACTGCGACTTGCAACTTGTGATTCGATAACTGTGCATTTGCGAGTGTAATGACACTGGTTAACACGAAGCTTTCGCGACCAGTATTATTCACATGAAAGGGTTTTGGGTTCGATCGCGTAAGTATAAATGCGTCGCAACCCTCCACCACCCGATAGGGCCAATCAGTAAAAAAATGTGTCACGTTATCAAAAGGCCAATTAGTTCCTTCTTCAGCCCACCGGTGTGTTTGAAGAGTGAATCCACAACATTTAGAATTTGAGTACGACGTTTCGCTGGTAATTACATCCAGAACCATCCAAGGATGGCTTCACGATTCTGGCAAAATCGCCCGGAGATGCTGGATGTAATTACCAGCGAAACGTCGTACTCATTCTAAATGTTGTCGATTCATTCTTCAAACAAAAAAAGCCACATTGTGAACACATCATGGTGAATAAATACCAATTTTTGTTTTATTGATACGAGCCTGCACGCCCGTCTCTCCCTCCCTCCAGCCAGCCAAACTTAAAACAATAATAATGACAAGCGGACATGTGTCTCCGACTTGTGTCTCCGACTTGCACAAGATCATTGGAAACAGAGGCACCACGCGACGATGCACAACAGGGAGGCCCCCCACTCAAATTAGACGCGCAATCTTTTTTTTTATTTGACCAAGTCTCAAACGCCGCGTGTGCGTGCGTGTCTCTCTCTCTCGTTCTCTGTGTGTCACGGCTGTGTTGTGACAGGCTTAATTGAGGCTGCTGTGCTTAATTAGCACGGCGCTGTTATCGTCAGCAGCGCCCCCCCCCGCTCCTTCCTGCATGAGCCGACGATCTCCCAGGTGAGAACTCTGCTCTGTTGATCAAAATTACCTGGGGTGGAGTCGGTGACATACCCCCCCCCCCCAACCAGGACTTTCGCGGTTGCAATCCGACGGGCCGCCCTGGTCATTATCGCGGGGCGCGTGTGCGTGCGATCCGTAGCAACAGCACCGCACCACGCGCTCTCTGCTTCCTTGGCATTGCTTGCCGATGTATCTCGCTAACCCCTACTGTACATCCGTGAACTACAGAGCTCCGTCGCTCATCAACACCGACATTATGTAAACTCCCCCCCCCCCACCGTGCCGGTCCAGTACATATTTTTATGCTAATTCCTTTGTCAAGGCGTTTTTTTGTTTCCTCCCACACAGCTTAAAGGACGCGACCTGGGCTTGCTGTCTTCACTCCAACGCTGTCCTCTGGACAGTCCAGTCCCTTCAAATGTGACAAATGTGGCAAAGGGAGGCGGATAGCCGAGGGGTGGTGGAATTCGCCCCCATTGGTAATGATGACCTCTCGACCCCAAAAAAACAACCGGAATCACCCAAAGTCTGAAACGACGGATTTGATGTTAGTTGACAGAGAAGATGGTTCGTGAATTTTCAGACATTGGATCAGCAAATGTCTTTCCCCAGCACATACTGTGATAATTAATAGTGCTGATAGTGATTATGATACTGCTGTCCTGATGTTGATGATGACTGTGATGCTGATGCTGTTGATGGCTGTGTTGATGATGCAGCTAATTATAGAGTTGATGATGATGATGGTGCTATTGCTGCTGCCAATGTAGCTACTGCTGCTGATGTTGCTGGTGACAATGACGAAACTGCTACTGCTGATGATGCTGATAATTCTGCTCATGACGATGATAATGCTGCTACTGCTGATGATGTCGATAATGCTGATGACGCTGCTGATGTTGTTGCTGCTGCTAATGATGCTGCTGGTGACGATGACCCTGTTGATGATGCTACTGATGCTGCTGTTGATGATACTACTGATGCTGCTGTTGATGATGCTACTGATGCTGCTGTTGATGATGCTATTGATGGTGCTGTTGATGATGCTACTGATGCTGCTGTTGATGATGCTACTGATGCTGCTGTTGATGATGCTACTGATGCTGCTGCTGTTGATGATGCTACTGATGCTGCTGTTGATGATGCTACTGATGCTGCTGTTGATGATGCTACTGATGCTGCTGTTGATGATGCTACTGATGCTGTTGTTGATGATGCTACTGATGCTGCTGTTGATGATGCTACTGATGCTGCTGCTGCTGCTGATGTTACAAGACAGCGGCGATGACGATGCTGACGATGATCATCGCCACCGCGACCGTCCCACCCCACCCGCCTCTTCCCACTTGCCGCGTGGGACGCGGCGATGGCTCCGGACGCGAGGAGATGGAACACGAGGACGCGGCGGGCGGGATCCTCCAGGAAGGCGGACACGATCCTCTGGCTCTCCTCGTCGACGACGAACTTGCTCCAGCTGTCCGCGCGCACGCGGAAGCACAGCGAGACGCGCCGCTCCAAGTACACCACCCTCTCGTCCCTCTCGAACGCAACCGCCGGAACCTCTTCATCCTCCTCCTCGTCCGACATCGTCGCGAGTCGACCTTTTTATTTCCGAGTTGTTGATTTGTTTTGTCCGAACGTTAAAGAGAGGGGCACCCCCCCCCCCACCGCACTCCTACCACCACCTCTCAATCCGTCTCCTCCCGCTGTCTCGGCCGCGTTCCCAGAACGTCGCTGCGGCCAATGAGATAGAGGTCGATCGATTTATATCGCCGTCGATTATTTTGGTAGACGTTGGCACGGCCTGTTGACACGGCCTGCAGCCACAGCGATCCCGGGTTCAACAGCGGGCACGGGGGAGGGCTTACAGCTCCACAGCACTGGGGAACAACTCCATCAACGCTCTGCGGGCGTCTTAACTGCTGCCTCTGAAGCCTCGCACAATCTCCGCGCGAAAGGCGCTTCGGAAGTGTGAGAATGATTCTCGTTCTTAGTCTGCTTTAAATGGTTGTTGTGACGAGCAGTGGCTATTCCCCACCTCTTCCAAGACGTCCGGGCCACCGTGGAAGAGTAGACCAAACGCACCCTCCAGAGGGTGCGAGAGAGCTCGCTCGCTCGCCCCACTGGAAGCCCTGCCGCTGGCAGTGCAGAGTGAGCAAGCACTTGCAGGGCCGCGCCTTTACCTCGCAGACCGTCTCTCCCCGAGTACAAATGATGTGCGCCCGATGCCCAAGACCAGGATGTGAAGTGCGCGAAAAGTCCGGATGAAGGTGCGTTGCTGAAGTTCGCTTGAGTTGCTGTTGTTGTTGTCGTCGTCTCGAGCAGTTGTTGGTGCTTGTTGTGGTGGTTAAGGTGGTGGCCGCGTGAGTTTGAAACGTGTCTGTGCTACTGGGCGGCAGTTGTGACCACGGTCGGGGGGGGGGAGTTTGGAGAGGGGAGGAGGTGGGTGGCTGGGTGGTGGTGGTGGTGCTGCTGCTGGAGGAGGAGGTCGAGTGGTGATGAATGCTTCAGGGAAGGGGAGGGGGAGGGGATGAGAGGGTGGGGGGGAAGAGGGGGAGGGGAGAGATTCATTCCACGTGCCCTGAGCGTCTTCGCAACGCGCATGGAAACGCATACACACAAAGACAAAGATTCCCTGTATAGCCTCGGCAGACTGCTGGGGCAAGTGCTGTTGGCGAGTAGCACCTGTGAAGGCCGACACGGCAAACGAAGGGGTGGCCAGCAGCACGCCCGGCCGCCTTTGTCTCCCTCCGCCTCCCTCGTGGCGATGTTTACACACATCGCACCAGGCTACTACTAATTGGAGGCCATCGGTGTTGGCGGCTGTGAGCGGGAATCGAACTCGCGTCGCTGGTAGCGCAGCGCGCTAACCACTGTGCCACCGCTCCACACAAAGACAAATACAAAGATCCCCCGTATAGCCTGTAACATACTGTTGGGGTAAGTGCTGTTAGCGAGCACCTATGAACGCCAGAACGGCACACGAGGGGGTGGGTGGCCAGCACCACGCCCGGCCGCCTTTGTCTCTCCAGTGGCAAAGTTTCCACAACGCACCAGGTACTCATTTGAGGCTGAGTCGACCTCGGAGAGGCCCAGGACCGGTTCAGATAATCGTCACCGGTGTTGGCGGCTGTGAGCGGGAATCGAACTCGGGGTCGCCGGTTGCGCAGCGCGCTAACCACTGTGCCACCGCTCCACAAACACACACGCAAAGCCACACACACACCGATATTGACACACGTGAACACGCGTGTACACACACGCGGGCGCGCACCACCACGCACGTGTTTATGTAGAAATATAAATATACTATAGACGAAGACAGACACTACTATACACTACTGTTGGCGAACACCTCGATGGGAGGTGGTGGGGCCACAGCGCCACGCCCGACCGCCTTTGTCTCCCCAGTACTGATGCTGTTTCCTTGTACGCACCAGGATGACTCGGTTCAAACAGAGTTGACCTCGGAGGAGAGCCGGGAGCGGTTTAGATTTTCGTCAATGATGTTGACAGTGCCGGATTATCCTCGTAGCAAAAGTAGCTACATATGCTACAGGCCCGCACTTTCAAAAGGCCCCGCGCTAGTGACTCTGCACTTGCTCTATTACTATAGTACTATACTGCCTTCAACCTTTATGAACGACTGGGTGTTTAAGGTTAGCGGCCTGTTGTATTATCTGGCTGTATCGCAAATGAAAAAATGCAATTACTTTACCATGCAAGTAAAAAATTGTGTTTTAATATTGACGTGTTTTTTTATATTAAGGGCCCCTTGATAACATCACGCTACAGGCCACTCACTAGCTTACTCCGGCACTGGATGTTGGCCGTCAGCGGGAATCCAACAACGCTCCCCACCTGACAAAGATTAAAGATCCCCCTTCCCCCAAACTTTATAGCCTCAGCAGACCGGTGGGGCAAGTGCTGTGAGCGAGCACCTCTGAAAGCCGGCACGGCACACGAGGGGGTGGGTATGTTGAATTCTTTCGCGCCGTACGTAGCCAACCGTGCTAATCGGAGGTGTGGGGGGTCAGGACAACAAACTAAACACACGAAAACATATTTGTCTCTATGGCCAGCACCACGCCCGGCCGCCTTTGTCTCCTCGGTGGCGATGTTTCCACATCGCGCCAGGTACTCATTCGAGGCTGAGTCGACCTAGGAGAGGCCCTTGCCTGGTTCAGATAATCGAGACTGGTGTTGGTCGTGAGCGCGAATCAATCTGGGATCGTTGGATTCGTAGTGCGGCACTCTAACCGCTACCCTAACGCTCCCCCTTCACACACACATATGTATATACACACACATGTATATACATATTCTTAGTTCTTTCGGTAAACTCACGTTGAAGGGAAACAATATACATGTATATATGTATATATACATGCACACACACATGTACATACATGCACACACACATATATACATGTACACATACAACTGCACAGCACACAAGAGTAGAAATATAAACGCGTCCACACACACACAGGTCATTAAAATGTGAAAAAATGCGGACATCTACAATAAACATCCCACTCACCGCCAAAAAACATCGCTCCTGGCTTTGACATCCCTGCTCCTCCGCGTAGACAGCGGTGATGTTCAACCCCATCATCAACATCAGAACATCAACATCAGGCCGATGGGCAACACCTTCATCGTGAGTGGGGAAATTAACGACATAAAGCGCCAGTAGTGTGTCCATGTCACTCTAAAACTACCGGGCCATATCGTGACACCCATGGAGACACGTTCGATCGTTCGTTTCTCAGGCCGCTTGTCCTGGTGAGGGTCGCAGCGGCAGCGTGTTGAGTAGTGGCGGTCCACACCTCACTTTTCCTGGCGACAGACTCCAGCACTACTACACTATACACTACACTATACACTACACTAATATACACTAGAATATAAACTACTATACACTACTACACTATACACTACTACACTATACACTACTATACACTACTACACTATACACTACAATACACTACTACACTAATATACACTAGACTATAAACTACTATACACTACTACACTACAGCAGCGTGTTGAGTAGTGGCGGTCCACACCTCACTTTTCCTGGCGACAGACTCCAGCACTACTACACTATACACTACACTATACACTACACTATATACTACTATACACTACTACACTATACACTACTACACTATACACTACTATACACAACTACACTATACACTACACTATACACTACTATACACTATAAACTACTATACACTACTACACTACAGCAGCGTGTTGAGTAGTGGCGGTCCACGCCTCACTTTTCCTGGCGACAGACTTCAGCACTACTACAATATACACTACACTATACACTACACTATATATTACTATACACTACTACACTATACACTACACTATAAACTACTATACACTACTACACTATACACTACTATACACTAATATACACTACACAAATATACACTAGACTATAAACTACTATACACTACTACACTACAGCAGCGTGTTGAGTAGTGGCGGTCCACACGTCCCTTTTCCTGGCGATAGACTCCAGCACTACTACAGTATATACTACTATACACTATACACTACACTATACACTACTACACAATACACTACTATAAACTACTACACTACTATACACTACTGCACTATACACTACTGCACTATACACTACTATACACTACTACACTAGAAACGACTACACTACTATACACTATTACTCTATACACTACTATATACCACTATACACTACTATACACTACTACACTACTATACACTACTACACTATACACTACTGTACACCACTACACTATAAACTACTATACACTACTACACTATACACTACTATACACTACTACACTACTACACAATACACTACTATACACTACTACACTATACACTACTACACTATACACTACTACACTATACACTACTATACACTACTACACTATACACTACTACACTATACACTACACTACTATACACTACTACACTATACACTACTACACTATACACTACTATACACAATACACTACTATACACTACTAGACTATACACTACTACACTATACACTACACTACTATACACTACTACACTATACATACTACACTACTATACACTACTACACACTACTACACCATACACTACTATACACTACTACATTACTATACACTACTACACTATACACTACTACACAATACACTACTATACACTACTACACTATTCACTACACTACTATACACTACTATACACTACTACACAATACACTACTATACACTACTACACTATACACTACTATACAATACACTATACACCACTACACTACTATACACTACTATACACTACTACACAATGCACTACTATACACTACTAAACTACACCACTATACACTACTATACACTACGACACAATACACTACTATACACTACTACACTATACACTACTACACTATACACTACTATACACTACTATACACCACTACACTGTACACTACTACACTACTATACACTACTATACACCACTACACTATACACTACACTACTATACACTACTACACTATACACTACTATACACAATACACTACTATACACTACTACACGATACACTACTATACACTACTACACTATACACTACACTACTATACACTACTACACTATACACTACACTACTATACACTACTACACTATACACTACTATACACTACTACACACTACTACACTATACACTACTATACACTACTACACTATACACTACTACACTACTATACACTACTACACACTACTATACACTACTACACAATACACTACTATACACTACTACACTATACACTACACTACTATACACTATTACACAATACACTACTATACACTACTACACTATACACTACTATACACTACACTATACACTACTACACTACTATACACTACTACACAATGCACTACTATACACTACTACACTACACCACTATACACTACTATATACTACTACACAATACACTACTATACACTACTACACTATACACTACTACACTATACACTACTATACACTACACTATACACTACTATACACTACTACACTATACACTACTATACACTACTATACTCTACTATACACTACTACACAATACACTACTATACACTACTACACTAAACACTACTACACTATACACTACTATACACTACTACACTATAAGCTACTACACTATACACTACTACACTATACACTACACGACACTATACACTACTATACATTACACTGTATACTACTATACACTACACTAATATACACTATACACTAGTATACATTACATTATACACTACTACACTATACACTACACAAGAAATAAGAATATGTTTTTCCCCTTTTTCTGGCAACAAAACTGAAACCTTTTTACAAGGAATCATGTCTTCATTAACCACAATACTTGTGGTCAGAATGCAAACAAAAAACACACTGATAATATATTAAACTGATTGGTCCACACCAGAGACAGT